CCAGTACAAAGTACATTTACTACTTTCTCATTGTGTGTCCAGTAGTAGTGATCCGTCGTCTGCTAGGCAGAGACAATTCCTATGTACAGTACTGGTTTGGATGAGTAATTATCTGGACAGAACCCTCCAGGACTGGTAATCCACTCGGTGATGGTGGGATTCTTCTCATCAATAACCTCGGCCAGTGCTGGATCGGGATCATTAGATTCCTATGTATTTCTTTCAGTCCCTGTGTACTAGTAACCCACGCAGTGCCGACGAGGGTAAGTCAGCTCTAGTGCTATGCAGAGATGAACCAAATTCTCCAGTATTATTAACCCCGTCAGTGCTGGGTCTTCCGTACTAGTAACCCTTCCATTGCTGGGGTAAGTGGTTTACTCAAAGCCTTCTTTAGCTCTTGGGTACTAGCAACTATTTACTTGCTGGTATTGGTCCATTCTTCAAGCACTAGTAACTCATTGTGTGCCGGGCTGAAGGTGCTCCTTCTGTACAAGTACTGGTGCAGTGCTGGGCCCAGGTCCCACATATCTGGGGGTAATAGGAACCCATCTAATGCTGCACCACAATCTCCTTTTCTACTAGTTGCTCATCTACTTCTTGGTGAATTATATTCCTCTAATACTGCGTTAGGTGTCATTATGCCCTCGTTCACACCTGAACGTTTTGAGCGTTCGTAGAGTGTTGAACGCGCTACAAAACGTACAGGTGTGAACCAGGCCTCAGGTGGTTAACTATCTAAAAAAAACTGCGAAGGACAGTGCAACAAATCAGCTAATCCCTTTTTTTATTTTAAATGTTCTAACACCTCGTTCACACCTGAACGTTTTGTAGCGCGTTCTACGCTCGACGAACGCTCTACAAAACGCTCAAACATCTAAATCCCATTGTATTCGATGGTCTCGTTCCCACCTCGGCGTATTTCCGCCCGTCCCTAACGCGCTACAAAACGGCCCACGCCTGAAAAGGTGCAGGTACTACTTTGGGCCGTTTTTTGTGCGCGTTTCCATTGGGATACAGCCAAGTAGACCTCGGAAACGCGCGTTTGTCTCGCAATTTTTTTACCGTGAATCGCGGTAAAAAAATGCGCGACAGACGTGCATATGCAATACGCCTAGGTGCGAACCAGGCCTATGGGTGACACTCCAAGGTGGTCACTTCTAAGCCCCCCCATTGCTGCCCCAACTCCTAGTGATATACATCATAATTATAATACAGGATTTATATAGCGCCAACAGTTTGTGCAGCGCTGTACAATATAAGGAAGACAAGGTGGTAAGGAGGGCCCTGCCTGTGAGAGCTTACAGTCTGATAATGTACAGTATACGGCCTGCTCAATGGTAAGTATCACTTATTCCAGATGCACAAATCAGCACCATTAACCCTGAAGCTGCTGCTTTGCTATGAAGGTGGTGTGCAGCGGTTGATGCTTTAGCCCTCACTGGATCATTGCGCTACATTAGCCTGTGTTAGGTAACATTT